CCCCCCCCCCCCCCCCCCCCCCCCCCCACACCGTCGACAGAGGACTGCCCCGACAGTACTATCATAGCAACAGTACAATCGTAGAAGTCGTGGCCCCTGTGCAGGGGGATGGGGTGAAAGGTACTTCGCGTGGAAAGTTTAACGTTTCTGAACAGAGAAAGGTGTAGAATATGGTACTTATTCATATCATACATGTATCATAAGCGTATGCGTGGATGCAGTGGGTTCCGCTTCCATGCGGGGGGGCTCCACGACTGTTAAAAGTAACCTAACCCATTCAGTGATGTGGTTTCGACCATAGATTCGACTTTCTACGCGAAGCAAGAGCTACCTCTCACCACTAAATGGGTTGGGTTAGGTTATTTTTAACAGTCGTGGAGCCTATGATTGATAAAATCTCAGTTTCTAAATCCTCCATTAATTTATGTTTTATCTATCGTTTTAAAAATTTATTTTGTATGACTCTTACAACGTCCTTTGCTCATTCCGTTTGTTGTTTATTAAATTTAAAATAAGTAGAATTAATAATGAGATTCAGAGCTTTTTTCGAATTCTTCCAACGAAATTGAAGTATGTCTTGTGATGGTATTCCATCTTTTATCAGTACTTTGCATTATTAAATCAGTTGGAATGTTCGTGCACATAGCTACAACATCAAATGAAACTAAATCATAATTAGAATCGAGCTTTTTGCTATTTAATTTTTCAACTAATCCGAAACTATTTTTAGTGTAACCTTTTGTATTTGTGATACTTTTTTCAATAATTTCTTTTAAAAAATTAGAGAAAGGATACATAGGACTATTCATACAACTCACAATCATTCTAAGAGGAAAACCTGTCTTATGTATTTTTGTGAGACCATAAGCTCTCGGCAACACACCATCTGTGACTAATAGTTTTCTATATGTGAGTTGATCTATAAAACCTCTTTCTTTGAAACTTATTAGAATTTCCTTGTACAGTTAGTCGTTCGTTTTAATGGGTCTCTATTAATTAAAATATAAGAATTGTATTACTTGCTGTTAATTGTTACTATAATATTGCGATTAATTATACAGTCTGGTAACTATGGTTCGTCCAAAAATTTTATAATTCTGACGAAAGTTTATCACGATGACACAAGCTAACGTACTTTGGTTGCAAACGATAATTGTAAGAATGAAACAAGAAAAATAAGATCGCGTTGTTATTAATGTAAGCGAACAATTGACTAATTTATGTTCTCTTTGTTCATTTTATATAATTTCAAATTTATACTGAAGATGGTCACTTTATTGACCGAAACGTTTATATGAATGTTAAGTCATTAATATGAATAAATTATTTATGTTATAATAATTTATCACGAATAAGAACCTGTGTGTGAGATTATGCTTATTTTATGAAATTATTGTTTTAATAATTGATAAATTAAGTTTTTGATAGGTACGGCGTATATGCCGGGTTTACCCTAATCCAAAGATGTCTTCCGACTAACTATCACTATCTTCCAACTGACTGTAGGAATCGTCGGAATAATCACTATCATTGTAGTCATTGACGGTAGAATGATTTAAGTTGTAGAAATGAAGATACTAGAAAAGACACAAAATAGTCAATTTAAGGGGTTATAGTATACACTCACAGCACAAAAAATGACAACATCATCACAATTTTTTTTCGACAGTAAAATAAAAATTTATTTAAAAACTATTAATGGTATGATTTAGTACATGTTTTGAAGTACATACCAAATTCTTTTGTTATAAAATATTTGAAAATGGCGGAACTGCAGCTGTTGCCCTGGAGCGCCTAGTTTTCAGCAACTCTTGCGGTGGACAAGATAACTCGAGAACGGATCATCTGTGTTGAAGTATTTTACTTATTACTTAGCTTAAAAGCTAAGATTGCACAAAATACAATCTTATTTTAATCAGCATCAGCCAATTACCAAGAGAAAGATCATTTATAATGAGAAACGATTTAATCACAAAAGGTGTTTAACACGCTTTACAAAGTCATTAAACATGAAGAGAATCAGTTTTTACAATAAACATATATCAGCATTTATAACAGTCAAACAGTCAAATGAATCAGTAGATGACTTATAATAAACTTATCTGTAACGGTTAACAAACGTCGTTATTGCAAGGCCTTACAACAGCACACAGCTCTCACACATCCACTCGGTACCAAGGTCCGCCAGGAAAAGGGACGAGCAACAACGATGTTCAACCTTTACAATAGACTATCGCTTCGATAGAGCCATCTAACTGAATCTAATCATATCAGTAGTCGATAATTAGCTTGATGTGAATTATCTCTTTTCCAACACTTCCCCTTAATTACAGCAAGCTATTTCACAATGAACTGTTTACAGTTTTCAAATTTTACTCTATTCAAAGGTTTTGTAAGTATGTCTGCTCTTTGATCATTTGAAGGACAATATTTTAGTTCTATGATTTTACTCTTTACTAAATCATGCACAAACCTGTACTTTACATCTATATGTCTCGATCTCTTATTGATTACTCCATTCTTTATTAGTGCTATGGTACTTTGATTGTCTATGTTTAATTCTATTCGTACATCTTCTCCTTGAAGTTCTTCAAGCAAAGTTTTCAAATATTGTAGTTCCTTGCAACACTCTGCTGCCGCAACGTATTCGGCTTCAGTACTTGAAAGAACAACATTAGATTGTCTACGTGAGCACCAACTAATTGCTCCTCCACCATAAAATATGATGTAACCGGTTGTGCTTCGTCTTGTCAATAAATCTCCTGCAAAATCTGCGTCACAATATCCTTTTAATATATTTTTATTTTCATTAGCATTAAATTGTATACCTTGATCTTTAGTACCACATAAATATTTCATTATGTGTTTGACATCATTCACATTTTCTTGAGTGAAACTTTCTAAATACCTGCTACTAAAACCGACGCCAAAAGATATATCTGGTCTTGTCTTGGTTGAAAGGTATAAAAGACTTCCTACTACTTCTCTGTAGTTATAATTTTCTTCTTTCTTGGGTGTGTTTCTATCTTCGTTTTTAATTAAAGGAACTTTGACGGGTTTTGCCTTATCCATTCCATATTGTTCTAAAACATGCTTTAAATATTCCTTTTGTTTTAATTTTATTGACAATCGATCTCTTGAGATTTCAAAACCAACAAATATTTCCGGTTTGTACACTACTGTCATTTTAAATTCTTCCTTTAATTGTTTTAGAATTATTTCAATTTCTTCCGAATTATCACTGATAAGTATTCCGTCATCGACGTATATACCTAGTATTATTTCTTTATTAACTTTTTTAAAGATACATTGTTCACTCATGAGAGGTAGAAAACCTTTTTCTTTCAGAAAATTTGCGAAGCGTATATTCCATCTTAGTGAAGCTTGTTTTAAACCATATAAAGCCTTTTTAAGTTTGAAGACTTTTCCTTTTCGTTTAAAACCATCTGGAGGATACATGTAAACCTTTTCTTCCACATCTCCATAGAGGAAAGCCGTTTTTATGTCAAAAGTTATTATTTTATATTTTTTAATTGTTGCTAAAGCAAATAAGGTTCTTAATGCACTCGTACTGATTACAGGACTGAAAGTTTCTTCGTAATCTATTCCTTGCTTCTGTTCGCAGCCACGTATTACAAGACGCGCTTTATATCTCCCATCTTGTTTAATTCTGAAAACCCATTTTCCAGTCAAAGGCTTTTCTTCCTTTTTTAAATCTTTTAAATCTATTTCTTCCCAGGTATTATTCTCTTTCAAAGATTTCTTCTCATCTTCTATAGCCTCTTCCCATTTTTGTCTATCTGGTCCTGATGTTGCTTGGCTGTAAGTCAACATGACATAATCTGTGTATCGTTCTGGACATTTCTTTTCTCTCGTTGATTTTCTTGAAATGACTTTATCTTGTTTGAATCCTTTTTCCGTTAAATCTTCACTGTTTTCAGTATTTTCTTCTAATTCATCATTTTGATTATTAGTTGATATTCTTATAGGTGTCCTTGCTTCTTCTGCATCAGTCCATTCTTCATCTTCAGTGTCAATTTCTTCTCTATCTGACTCTTTCTCTTCTTCGGATTGTATTAGTTTTATTTTCGTATACTTTGTTTTATCTTTATTCTTGGTATTAACTTCTTCATCTTCTCTTAATTTTGGTTCTTCAAATCTTACATCTCGAGCTGTTATTATTTTTCTTTCTTCTTGATTCCAGAGTCGATATCCATTCGATGCATATCCTACGAAAAAGAGTTTTTTACTTCTTTTTTCAAGTTTTTTAATAGGTCCTAGTATTTTGACATATGCTGTACTTCCGAATATTTGCATTCTTTCTAAAGTTGGTTTTCGTTTTTCCCAAAGTTCATATGGAGTACAGTTTATAGTTTTTGTGAATAATCTATTTAATATATTCACTGAACAATATAGAGCTTCACCCCACATTTCCTTATTCATATTTGAATCAAATAGCAATGCTCGTATTTTATCTAGTAGAGTTCTATTTAGTCTCTCAGCTCTTCCATTGAGTTGTGGAGTATATGGTGTTGTATTATCCAAAACTATTCCTTTATTTTTGCACCAGGTCATAATATTTTTATTCATGTACTCCTTTCCATTGTCGCATCTTATTTTTGAAACTTTAAGATTCCAGTGAGCTTCAACTTGTGTTATATATTCCTTTAGAAAATCTTCTACTTCAGACTTCTTCTCCAGCAAGTAAACCATTGTATAATGTGTAAAATCGTCCTGAAAAGTAAGGAAATACCTTTTTCCATTCCAAGTCTGAGGATCTATCGGCCCACAAATATCTGTGTGTATAATTTGAAGTGGTCTCTCTGCTTTCGTTCTATTATCTCCAAATTTCAATCTTGATTGTTTGGCTTGTTGACAAACCTCGCAGATCTCTTTAAATTCTTCCATGTCTTTCTGAGAAATTTTAAATCCTTCACTATGGTCAATTGCCTTCTTCATCTTTTGGATGTTAGCATGTCCTAACTTTCTGTGCCATATTCTTGCTTGATTTTCTCTATTTTCTGTAAATAGCGATTCATCTTTATTTTCTAGTTTTAATTTTACCTTGAAGAGCCCATTAGATAATTTTTCTCCTTTTAATTCTCCATCTTCTGATTTTATTATTACTTCCTTTTCTTTAAATATTACTTCTCCTCCATTTTCTGTAATTGAACTCACAGACAATAGATTTGCACTTAAGTCGGGTACAAATAAGGCTTTTTTCATGCTGCAATTTTCAAATTCTATTCTTCCTTCTCCTTTAGCCTGCATCGATTGTTCCATTTTAGCCACATTTATTACTGTACTTGATCTTCTTAAATCCTTGAAGAAATTCTTATTATTTGTTAAGTTTAACGTACTGCCTGAGTCTACGATCCATGAAGTCGTATCTTCGGTCATGCTACTTGTTAAAAGTGCTAACTTACTAGTTTCGGAATCTTCTACTTTAGTTTGTTTTTTATTTCTGAAGAAACAATCTTTTTCTACATGATTGCTCTTTTTACAAATATTACATTTCTTTTCATTATTTGAATTATCTTCTTTGCAAAATTTAGCAATATGCCCGATCTTATTACATTTAAAACAACGTACCTGTTTTTTATCCTTTTGTAATGCTTTTAATTTACAAAATTTTGCCAGATGTCCAACTTTACTACAGATATGACATTTCTTTTGTGAAGCCTTAAAAGCTATTCCTCCTTCTTCTTCTTCTTTAGGATGACGTCTCTGTTCTTCTCCCAAGAGTCTTGCTAACAAGTTGTCCAGTGTTTTTCTCTCTGTTTCCGTAGATTCCCAAGCACTAACAAAGTGAGAGTATTCTTTTGGTAGAGTAGCCAATAATTTCGAGATCACCATATTGTCATCTATTTTTGTATTAATTGCATTTAACCTGAAAGCTAAATTTTTTACTTTACTAATATAAGTAGACATATCAATTCCTTTATTGAATGAAACATTATAAAATTCTTGTAAAAGTTTGCATCTCTGTTGCTCGGTATCCCTTCCGTACGTGTTACAAATTTTTGTCCACATCTGGTAAGATGTGTCACATTCCATTATATTCAAGAAGGGTTTCTTATCTATGGTTGATATTATAATTTTTTGCGCAACAGCATCTTTCTTTTTCCATACTCCATTTCTTTCCCCTTCGGTTTCGGTTGTTGCTATTTCTATTACCTCGTTAGCTCGAAAGAGAACTTTTATTTGGAATTTCCAAATTTCAAAATTTTCAACTCCTACTAATTTCTCAATATTATAATAGTCTTCTGCTATCTTTGCCATTTTTTTTAAATATACTAATTCTGATTCTTATTTAAAATTTTACAGCCTTTTATTACAAGTAATATCTTTATTCTTTTAATTTATAGATTTTAATTTATTCTTAACTTTACTTTTGTTTTACTTTACTTTTACTTTAACTTTAATTTTATTTTAAATCTTTACTTCACTTTTACTTTACTTTACTTTTACTTTAATCTTTAATTTTATTTTAAATCTTTACTTCACTTTTACTTTACTTTATTTTTACTTTAATCTTAATTTTATTTTAAATCTTTTTTACTTTTACTTTACTTTACTTTTACTTTAATTTTAGCTTTACTTTTACTTTCGAGTTCTAACCTTTTATTTAAATTCAATCCTCTTAATTTCCTTATATTTATTTACTATCCTCTATATTTCTTCTTAGTTTTTATAAGGTTAAGGTATTTATCTATGCTTACTCTGATCGGTGTCCAAACATACAAAAAAAAAGACATGCCCCTTTCCCAGCAACACATTCAACTTTTTTTTTATCAGACTTTCAATATTATATTATTTTTTTTTAAAAAAAAAAACACAGTTTCTCTTTCTTATTATTTAATAAATTTCTTAAATTTTTAATGTTACAACAATCTTTCTCTTTGATAATCTTTATAATATGATATTATTTCTATTGCCCTTGAAGCTACGTTCTGGGCCCATAACCTGTTGAAGTATTTTACTTATTACTTAGCTTAAAAGCTAAGATTGCACAAAATACAATCTTATTTTAATCAGCATCAGCCAATTACCAAGAGAAAGATCATTTATAATGAGAAACGATTTAATCACAAAAGGTGTTTAACACGCTTTACAAAGTCATTAAACATGAAGAGAATCAGTTTTTACAATAAACATATATCAGCATTTATAACAGTCAAACAGTCAAATGAATCAGTAGATGACTTATAATAAACTTATCTGTAACGGTTAACAAACGTCGTTATTGCAAGGCCTTACAACAGCACACAGCTCTCACACATCCACTCGGTACCAAGGTCCGCCAGGAAAAGGGACGAGCAACAACGATGTTCAACCTTTACAATAGACTATCGCTTCGATAGAGCCATCTAACTGAATCTAATCATATCAGTAGTCGATAATTAGCTTGATGTAAATTATCTCTTTTCCAACAATCTGAAATCAAAATGTAAAAAGATTTCGTTAGTATATTGTATTATCTATATCCGAGAATGGATTGAAATGGATTAAAATGGATTCAAATTTTAAGAAATACGGATTCATGAATGTTAAAATGAATCCTTTTCAATCCGAATACGTTTTTATTCATTTATAGGAATTGCATGGAGCATATCTGTATACTTTTCAATCATAAAATAATATTAGCTTTTTCGGTGCGTTTGTGATCATAGTGAATACTGTTCAATTCATAGTTTTGAGTAGGAAACGCAGTTTCTCAATTCATTTGTATCCAACTGAATTTAATTGAATCCAATTGAATTCAATTGAATCCACAAAAAGGTATTCGCTATTTACCATAAAATACGAATTCGAATAGACAAAATCCAATCCATTCTCGGATACTGGGTAGTTAATAAACGAAGGATTTGTCAAAATTTCAATTATTAAAAAAATAGCGACGGTTTAAACAAAAAGTTCATTTTTCAAGGTGTTCAAATTTCGTGTTTTTTACCGTAAAAAAAAAAGTTTTTGATTAAACTGAAAATCCTTTGTTCATTAACTAGCTATTATCATAATAAATAAGTGGTTCAAAATTCGCATTGATCGTATTGATAGTTTTTTAATAATCGTGTCCACCGCAAAGGCATTTTCAAAAAATCACAATTTCGAGACAATCGCGTTAGTTTAAACTTAGTTTCTTTCATGTTTGAAATTTATTTATTTAAACTTACATCGAGTTGTCGATTCCGGGACCATATTGTACCCCTTCTGCATCCTCCGCAGCTTCCAGAACATCGATTTGTGCTGTCTTCGAGCTATTCTTCCGTCCTTTTGGCTTCTATTATACCGAGCGGCAGATGCACGACACAACAGCAACGTCGCGCTATAAATAGTTATATCTTCGAAACTAATGCTCCGATCGTTGCGAAATTTGGTGAGAGTTTTCTAGAGACTATGTACTTATAGAATATGCAATAAAAAAAATGTTTTTTTTCGACCAACACGAGTGCATATACATAACCCCTTAATATCGACATATAGTATCTATGATACAATAATAAGTTTATTTGCCTTGCTTACACTGCTTATACTTTTATACTTAGAATGAGATAAATATATTATATATCACGGAATGGAAGTAACTCGTTACTTATAACGAAGTTGGTTACAAGTTATTTTTTTGGTAACTTTGCTGGTAACAGCGTTTGTTTTTTTTTGGTAACTGTAACGTAGTTACATTTTTTGGATAACGGTAACGGATTTTACAGTTACTTTTATCGTTACTTTACATACGATTGGACACGTTATTCTGTTATACCATAACAATTACATATTATTAATTCCGACAGCTATAATTTTTATTTAATACAGGCGTATAAGCATTTAGTTTAACTTAATCTAAACATCGTACACATTTGTTCTAATTGAGCTGTGTAACTTTATTCTGTACATTTCTGTGTACATGTTTGTCGAGTAATTGCAAAACACACATCTTTTTGCAAAATTTCTGTTATACATTTTAATTATAGCGTTATAATTTTCTTACTATCAAAATATTTGATTTACAGCTAAAAGTATAGATTAAGTAAAAATATAGCTGTAATATAGATTATGTGTATTTCTAAATTTATCTTTTAATATTTAACTTATTTTGTATTTCAGATAGTCCTATACAATCCTATATAACCTTCTAGTATTCTAAAAAGTATTAAAAAATTCCTGAAATATCTTAACATAGTTGTCAACTGCTGTAGCGATCCTGAAGTGATGTTTGATAGTTAAGAAATATATACAATACCATTATTTCAGAAATTATTTTGCAATTCTATCTTCTATGTGATACATCGGACATATGTATATCTCAGTTTGCTGCGTATATTTTACTGGTTTAAGAATTACGAAATTGTGTTTAAAAAAAAACCAAAAAAAATTAAACTATACATAGTGTCAGTGTTATACATGCTGTATATGTATATATCGCTTTTATTAACGTTTGAACAAAAAATACTGCAAAAGTACATTTTCAGATAAAGTAACGGAAAAGTAACGAAAAGTTACCTTTCGAGTAACGGTAACTGTAATGAGTTACTTTCAAAATGCGATAATTAGTAACGGTAACTCGTAACTTTCTTTATTCCATAACGAGTAACTGTAACTTTAATTTTAAAACGAGTAACTTTCTATTTCCTGATATATGTTGGACGTGCGAGCATGCGTGCGTGCGTGCGTGCGTGCGTGCGTGCGTGTGTGTGTGTGTGTGTGTGTGGGTGAAGAGAAAGAAAACAAAGATGCTTAGTGTAAAAAATGTAAATAAAGCGAATAAACTTACTTTCACAAACTCTCTATGACAAATATGTATATCTTTGTAATGCAAGTAATCGGGAAAAGAAATTTTTGTGTATTGAATTTATGTGGGTGATTATAAGAAGAAGTAAAATTAAGAGGTATACAAAGACTATTTTATTGTATGCAACAGACACAAAAACAGACAGTCAGACAGAAAGTAGCGACAACCGTAAACTCCGTGTCGGTAACGTAACGATCGCTGATGGTAAGCATAAACGATACTCTTCCTCTCTTTTTTGTATTTAGAGTACATGGATTTCTAAGGACAATGCCGTTAGCTTGGTGTATAACGTAGTGGAGGGTTGCGAGGTCTCGTAGATCTCCGTACAATTTGAGGTGACTGTACTCGATATGGCGGAGATCTTTGTGAAGTTGGAGTTGCGGGTAATGTCCAATAACGCTCCTCTGAAGTGGACGGACTCGGTGGTGAAGGTGGTCCTCGTGGTGACGGTGGAACCTGCAAATTAGCTTTATTGTGGAATGTTTGTGATATCGTTATCATAAAAATGAACTTTACGAGGCTTATCCTTCTCTTTTGGCCTCGTGCCATTAGACTGGTCCTCAGCTTTTTTCTCACTAAAGGCGCGGATATGATCCACGTGCCTCTTGAAGCATATCTGCCCTCATAATCTATTTCGTAATGTAGATCGCCCAATCGCGAGACAATCATACCTTTGACCCATTTATCCAGACGTTACTTGAGAAATCGTTATATGCTTGCTTTCTATTCTATTGAACTTGATATATGTGTACTTGTGAAGAACAGGAAGTGCATAAATCATAATTTTATGGATTATTGATGCCACTAATTTATTGTATTCAATTATATTGCTTATTTTAGTGACGTTGTTTTAAAATTTATGTTATTTATTTAATAAATTATATGATTAAGAGAGAAAAAGAAATGCAAAAAAAACGCACAGATAATTCTATACATACAGTCCTAAATTTTTTTCGATCTTCATTCCTCGAAGGCATCCATATCAGGACACTGGACTCAAATGCCGTTGCAAGGATAGGAATATGGGGATGACCTAAGCAGTGATGAGAATCCACCTATACATTAAATGAATAAAAGTTATTTTGTGCAACACATACTACGAAGAATAAAAATTTGTTTATCAAATGCACAAAATGAAAACACTTTACGAATTTGTAATCTTCTCTCAACCACTGTGCCGCAGTTCTTTTCTCCTTGTCATAAATGAATATATCACCACCATCGGATGCAGATATAATAAATTCACTTCTAGGTCCGAAAAAATTGATTCCAAGTATAACTGCAATCACAACACATAACTAAGACAACTTAATATCTACTATTAATTAAATCATATTATAATTATTCAAAGCGTCGCTTTTTCAATTACATAGGCGAAAAAAATATGAAAAATGTACATAAAAAAATCTTTAAACAATAGTCTCAGAATAAAAATTAATTTACAAATAAACCATTCAATAATGTTACTGTATGCTACTTCTCTTTTGAAATATACTTAAAATAAAAAGTTCTAAAAATAAAAAAAGTAAAATACCGGGAATATAATAATAATATAATTACGTCTAGAATATCTGTCGGCTATATCAGCAGGTACACCAGGTACAGATCTAAATTGATTGCTTTCAAATAATGTATGATTCGAATTTCCTTCACATGACCACATTGATTTATCAAATAATAATATTCTGGAAGAATTACACGATGTGAGAATCTCTGTCCCATCGTGATTATACATGGCGATTGTTCCACGGCCGTACCCATAATAATCCTTCAAATACATGTAAATTACATATGTAATTAAAACTCATGTAAAAAACATAAACACTAGTATTTCTTTAAATATTGATAAACTTTTCAGCAATAGGTTTGAATCCAACTAATACATACCTTGTCATACTTGGTGGTCCACAATTGATAAAGTGGTTTCGAAATATTTCGCAGATCATACACCCTTACGTAAAATGACCGCTGACACAAACTTCATTACTATTAGAAGGATTACAATGTATACTTGTTAACGTACTATTTCGAAATTTCTTTATATCGAGCAATCTATGGATATGAACATAAATGTATTTAATATTATAATGGATATTAGTATATATAACATGTGTATTAAAGAATAAAAATAAACACTTTTACCATGTAAACTCAAAATTTATTAGTATAACTAATACAAACATGAAGCCTATAACGGTCTAGCTTGGATCTTTAATCGTTTACATATAAACTAGTGCGGTATCATCACCAATTAAAATAAATTATTGCGAGGAATATTACTAAGGCCTCGGTAGTCTAATTGGCTAGGACACTTGCTTAAAGCAAGGTATCCGGGTTCGACTCCCGGCCGATGTAATATTTTTCACAATAAGAAGAATTATTTCCAGATTTATTATTTTCAGATTATTAGAATTGCGTTTCAAGACCAACGATAGTTCGACGCGCAGTTTGGGGGGACTACGTATATTAGTTAATTATTCATTTGTTTTAATTCGTGATAGTACCGCGGTACATGTAAGCAATTAGAGATCCAAGCTAGACTGTTGTAGGCGTCGTGTTTGTATTAGTTATGTTCTTACACATATTAACGGTCTTTAGTATTGAATATTGTCAAAATTTAGTATTGCGTCTATGTAGAATTTAATCGACTTATTCTTATATCTACTAATCAACGTAGATTAATTTTGTTTTAACTTTTTTTGTTATAATGGTCGAACCTGGATCTTTTATGCCAGCATATCCTATTTTCCGTTTGTTGAGTTTCAAATGTATACGATTCAACAAGATTCTTATCATTTTTTCTTGTCCAAAGTATAAGTTGAACCAAGATTAAAATTAATTTACATTTTGAAAATAGGCATTAACTCCGGTGCAAACAATATAAGTATATTTTGGTTTAACTTATTGTTCCTGTTTTTCTAATTCTTGGAATTAAAAAAACTGAAACAATTATGGGAATTAAGAAAAGATTAACAGTAAGTTGAACCGAAATAAACCAATATTACTTTGGTTGAACCGGGCTATAGCTGTCATAACGGTCCAGTCATCTTTCAATCACAATGTGATTGATTCGCATATACGTACACAGGACGATCCCGTGCTACACTTAACGCCAGATAATGGTCGCGTTCAGCAGACTCAACAGTTTTATAATTATTTTATGACTCTTCGTTGAGATAGGACTATTTCTTTAGATCAAAAAGTATAATCCAATCAGCGAGACGAATTATAAAACGGTTGCAAAACTGTTGAGTCTGCTGAACACAGCCAATACAACGATTTTTGGTAGAAAAAAAATTAATATTATATGTAGACATTCTGCATGCTATAAACAAAGAATATATAAGAAACATTATTACATGTGAACTTTTTAATAACAATTTCTTACTTTGGTGTATCCTCCCGGATATCTATGGATGAAATTGAGCCGTTTCCAGTAGAAAACACGACATAGGGTATTTCAGGATGCACAGCTAATGACCTGTCATTCATAAAATATTGTCTACGTGAATCATGAAGGGATAATTTATAGTGCAACAATCGTTTCCATGATTTGTATTCCAGATCTAATAAATGTATATCACCATCGAAAGTACGAGTGACCATAAAATTTTCTACGTCTAAAGGCAGCCATTTGACCTAAACACATATATTATTAAATTGAAAAGATTAATAAAAAAATACAATTAAATCAGAATAACTATTACAAAACATTCAAATAGCAATACTTTATTATATAATATAAATATTATACATACCTCGCTTATTAGGAAGACATAGCCATTTGGAAGGCAACAACACTTTTTCCTTGCAGCCCAATCCCAAATAGAAATTGTCTCGCCAGAGGCTCTTGCTAATAAGTTTCCTTTCTGATTGAAACTTAAGGCATTTACATCCTGTAAATAATAACGAAACTTTAATACGTATAGCTATACATGATTTAAAAAATCTATAATAATGGTCCAAAAGTAATCTATAAAACATTGTATATAATAAGTCAACATGTATCAAAATAAATAATTTACCTCAACGTCATGGAGTTTGTACTTAAACTCCAGTCGATTTACTGCATGTAAAGAACTACAAAATCTTCTTTGGAATAATGGATTACTACCTATTTGTCGATTTATTACTTCCTGCACAATGAACCAATTAGGAGGCGGTTTCTTTGTTTCTAAATTATCCGATAACATGTTTTCTTCTTTTACTTTTTCTACTATTACTACTGCTTCTGCTTCCTCTTCTTTATTCAATTCATTCTTGTTAGCAACAAAATATTCATTCGAGTCAGCTGTAAAAAATTTAGAATTTAAAATTTTATCAAAAAAGTAATGCAAAATTTATATGTAAATTTACATATATATAAACTTTGCATTTATTTTTGATAAAATTTAAAATTCTAAATATATATATATATATATATATGTACGTGCGTGCGTGCGTTGTTACTAGCGAGAGTACGGCTTATGAAATTAGACTAAATCGAACTGAGCTGGAAGGATCTTTTTATTGACTAAAGAGGTGGAGTCTTCTATCAGAGCTCCAACCAATAACGTAAGATTTTAAAATACCAAAAATGTACGTAAACGGGGTAGGGAAAAACTGGAGAAGGTGACGATGACTCATGCAAGAGTCCGTTAAAGATGAGTCATAAAATAAGTTCGTTAGACATATAGCCCTTTTTTGCCTATAATTCTAGAAACATCATAAAATTGAATATTCAAAAGAGGTTCTCAAAAGGGAATGTAATAAACTTCAGATTATATATATATATATGTATATAAAATAGATTTTGTATATATATAATCTGAAGTTTATATATATATATATATATATAATCTGAAGAGAAAGAGAGACATGTATATATGGCTATATTACTGAACAAAACCGGCGCGTCAAGTATGTTGCTGGATTCTCTATAATTTTCTATTTGTTATAGAGGTAAAACTACTTTTTCAATTTTTCTGCTCCTCTTATTAGGCTATCTATTACATTTCGTTTTCTCATTCTGGGGAGAATCACATTAGAGGTTAAAAAAAAATCGATTTTTTTTTTGCATAAATCGCTAGCTTAACAATCCAAGAATACGCTGCCAAAATTTCAAAGCGAAATTCGCATTCGTTTAGATTTTATGAGCATAGAACCGAGCGTTTATCGGGTACAGGCTACAGACTCGAGCGCACAGCAGGTATGGCCGCTTCAGGTAGTCGCTCTTTGTACTTACGTAGCTCCCCTTGTAGGGAACCCTACCTTTGTATCTTTCTTTTCCAATAACGATATAGAAGGTACTAGAAGCGTCAACACAACGGATTATTTCGGTTATATTCTATCTCTTAAAAAAACCTTTTTTAAAAAAAGAAAAAAACATACGCCAAGTGCATAAAAAAGATATTGAACTTCTTGATCCAAAACAGATATGAGATAAATATAATTGACCAAGTGTATTCTTCATTACGCCAGTCACATATAAGACAGACCGAAAGTGACTACAATTGTCAACTGTATTATAGTGAAAAAAAAACTTGGCGTGCCCGGGTCGCATTAATTGTAAACATTATTTCAACATTGTATTTGTATTATGAATTAAAATAACAGACATATGTATACAGATATAATATATACGTATAACATAGTGATGTAAATTGTGAGACATGAAAATATATTCACAAATAATAGATGTGATGTAAATTATGGACAAGTATAATATTTAGATATATATTTTAGAAACATTATAAATAACAACTTTTTATGTTCAGTAAGCAATTATTAACATCTTTTCTTTGTTGAATTATTGTTTTCGCATATATAGTGCAGTATACTGCAGAATATTGCGATACAACCAAGGTTCTAGAATATTGAATGACATAAATCGGACAAAAAAATGCATGTATTATATTCATATCTCTGCATCCAGTGCACTTACGGATGTGACTATATTACCTCATTTTAATCGTAAAAATCTATATATATCCCCATATATTCATTTTTTTTAAATACCAATTTTTTAAACAAAATAACAATTTTTTACTATAAAAGCGTTCTCCTTCCTGTAAAAGATACGCTGTAGCGTCTCTTCGACGCCATTTCTGATATTGACTTTTTCCTCATATGATTTTTTTTAATTTTTTCCTCATATAGTTTTTTTCTCATATACTTGATGGGAGACGCAACCGCGTCTTCTGATTTACGCATATATTAACATGATATACATACGTTGCGTAGCTTACACTTTTTACACTCAATATCTTCACTTTTTCTCTCCTCAGCACTAGAATATATATGTATATCAGGTGTGTAAATATGAAACCGGAATTTACTATTAGACGGCCATATAGGGGTGTCAATGTAGTTGCTGTCAGACCGCGTCATTGACGCCATTTCCTTGTTCTGACATCTGACAAAGATTTCCAATTCACAACAATACAAGTTTCATACAACAGTATAGTTTTTAATAGCGTTGAACATGTTGAATTTGTGCCTGGAAACTACGATTCGCGGACAGCAATTGATTTGTAGCCACAATAGAAGGAATAAGGAATAAGAAATTTTAGCCTATCAAAAATCGGATACATAGATATACATAGTTTCTGACAGACTGAAATTTCTTATTCCTTATTTCTAATTCCTTATTCCTTCTATATTGTGGCTGCACTCTAAAGATCACTGTAATTGAATTAATTGTATACAAGACATGATTGCTAGATTCAGTTAGATCGTTGACGACACCGGCGATCGCAGGTGTTCGATTCAGTCGACGAAAATCGATTCGTTATTTCGTTGAGAATCACGAGGCCCTGGCTCGTGATAGATAAGAGAAGGGAGAGGGAGAGAGAGAGAGAGAGAGAGAGAGAGATTTTGAGGAGAGAGAGAGAGAGAGAGAGAGAGAGAGAGAGAGAGAGAGAGAGAGAGAGAGAGAGAGAGAGCTGCGAGCACACCGCACCTTTTAAGCTACATTCAGAAATAGCTTACGTTACATATATATTATAGTAAAAATGTTTCTAAAAGTTATCTGAGCATAATTCCTGAACGCACCCTTAATCGGCATTTCGTTCGGAGTAATTAGGAGGAATCAGGAATATCTCGGAATAGAGACTCTCTGACAGAGTCTAGTCATAAGGTAGTAATACTGCTCGTGACTAGTATACCTATAGTATAGAAATGCAGTTTTAAATTTACTACTAGTGGCACTAATAGTGGGTGCTTACGACAAATGGTCGGATTTCTAATCCGATCGAACAGTGGTACTCAGGCCGTGTTTCGATATGCATTGCCAGTACTCAAAATCTATAGTTTACGTTACGTATACTATAGATTTTCAGTACTGGCAGTGCATATCGGAACATGCCTTCAATTGGTGCATTTCATTAAGCTCCCTAGCTTAATCGGATTTTGGTGCCTGTTCAGAGGTAATCGGATTGAGTTGAACGGATCGTGAAGAGGTACATGCCTTCAATTGGTGCATTTCATTAAGCTCCCTAGCTTAATCGGATTTTGGTGCCTGTTCAGAGGTAATAGGAACAATTTTGCGAATTTGCGTATGAACTTAATAAAAACAGAGTGCATAAAGACAAAGAGATACATACGATAACTATTATTCTAATAATTATTGTGTATTTTATTCTAAAATGTATATCAGTAATGGAAGTATGTATAGTATAGTAAAAGAATTCTGGAAATTAAATCTCACTTTATTAATTTTTTATAAAATATGTATAATAAAATATATTTTTTGCAGAAGTATAAGATTTGCCAATTTTTAAATATTCCATACAACAAATATATCCTTTCTTATATGTACCCTGTGTAAATTAATAATTTATATAGATATATGTATAATAAAATATAAAAATATATTTATATATTTGGTAAAATATGAAAAGATTGTTATTGCAATATCTAGTACAAATTGATGAAAAACGATACAATTAACATTTTGAACTAATAATCTAATAAATAAACCTTCAACAATTTTCTGTAAAATAATATATTGTTCTGAATCGTTAGTACTCTTTGAATTACGCCGCGATTAAATATATTTAATCGCGATAAAAATATATTTAAATATTTGGTAAAATATGAAAAGATTGTTATTGCGCAATATCTAGTACAAATTGACGAAAAACGATACAATTAACATTTTGAACTAATAATCTAATAAATAAACCTTCAACAATTTTCTCTAAAATAATATATTATTCTGAATCGTTAGTACTCTTTGAATTACGCCGCGATTCATAATAATAATATATTATATGATAATGATATATGATCATAATGATATGACTACCACGCGATTATACTCATTCGTCGCGTTTTCACTCAGAACGAAAGAATCTGTAAGAAAAATGCGGGGATCGGCCTTGTGAACCGAGTTATAAGCGTTAAAGTTCGAGACTTTACAGGTAACATATCTGTCATCCCGATTCGATATATATTATGTAAATCTGTACACATACGTGTACACAGTCGCAAGTATACTGCACACATAATATAAATATTCAATATGGCGATGAAATGTTGCAAGTTATTCCGTTTGGCGGACATGGCAGTACACGGAACATTTTTCGTGACCACCTTCAGGCTGCTTTCCAGCTACGACACAAGTAGACACTGTGTTAACACAGTGAATCATTGCATCCCTGTTGTTTGCCTACGTTAAACGAGGATGAAACGATTCTCTGTGTTACACAGTGTCTGATTCTGTCCTTGCTGGAAAGCACCCTCAAGTCTACACAGTTAAGTCTCCTTACTCTTACTTCATGGCCGAGTTTACTCTCCTGGTTCTAGTCTTCTTGGTCGCTTCCATGATAGCCCATTAGTTTAAAATCATTATCACGAGAGAAAATTGGAAGACTACAAATTTAAACCTGGAATATCAAATGAAATGTTTGATTTTTTAAAGTATAAAAATATTCTCTTTTAATAAAGAAACAGATTTCGAATGTGGATTAATATTCGTTAAAATATTTATGTTATACAATACAAAAATATATTTTTAATTAATTTATGAGATATTATGTTATATAAACAGTTTTTGTTATACAATACAAAAATTTATTTATATGTTTGTTTTAATGTAATTAATGTTATATGAACAGAAAATATTTAAATTTATGTTTTATATATTTATTTTCCTTTTTTTTTTATTCTCATTAATTTATTTTATTAATCGTTATAATTAATTAAACATATATTAAATGTAAGGAATTTTTTATTATATATCTATTATTTTAATGTTTTGTATATAAAGATCATAATATTTATTTACTCTAATAACAATTTTTATTTATACTGCTGAAATATAACGCTAGAGTGATTCAAATATGAGCGGGAATTGCCCACTTTTAGAGGACCAATCAAAACTGGATGTCTTATGGTTAGACTTCTGTTAAACTACAGACTCGGGAAAAAATAACCTGATATCACTGATATCACCTGATATACTATCAATAACATGTTCGAATTTACGTATAGATAAGGCGAATAATTAAGATGTTTGTGGAAACTTACAAATATAACGCGGTAAAAGTGTAATTAATTTTTTTAATTACGATTCGAAGGTTAGACGATGACTGGCAGCTGATATCGTCTTTATCGTGTTAACGAGCGCTACATATCGTAGCGCAGGCCATGCCGAGAAAAATACATCGGGCGCTTTCCAGCGGTGCCGGGACTTGAACCGGAGTCGGCCTCGAAGTCGCGTCCATGTTACGAGGCAACCCGTCTCGCCGCGGAGCTACACTACACAGCCGATCCGATAAGAGACATAGTTTTATATCCGACAATATATTGTGTTCTCCGACAAGTATTGACTGTTGAATAGTGAACTTGACAGAAACCGTCGGAACATTGAGGATAGTTGAGCGCAGGTTGCACATTCCCGTACGCCCGTGAAATTTAAAATACGATGTCTTGGATAAAGGAGCACTCCTTGAACTGGTTTCAATCCCTGGCTTTAAGGATCATCAAGACCGGTAAAGTGCCTAAGCACGTGGCATTTATCATGGACGGTAACAGACGTTATGCGAATAAACAGAACTTGGAGAAGAGAGAGGGTCACTCGAAAGGGTATGTAGTTTTAGAGAGAGTCTTGCAGATGTACTGGCCCGGGTTATTTATTTTATCTAGCATCTTATATTTTTAATTTTATTTACCACAGATTCGACAAAATGGCTGAGACGTTGTACTGGTGTATGGATCTTGGTATTGTAGAGGTCACAGTTTATGCGTTCAGTATAGAGAATTTTAAACGTAACAAAGAAGAGGTCGATAATCTCATGGACCTTGCCAGGCAAAAGTTTAAACGCCTCTTAGAAGAGAAGTATGTGCGAAATGAAAATCCTTTTAATTTTTTAAATTACAGGTATCTCGTGGCAACGCTATCGATTTTGTTATTACAAATTCATATAAACAATTTTCAGAGAGAAATTGATGGATATGGGAGTATGCATTCGCGTGATTGGTAATTTATCCATAATTCCAGAAGATATATGCAAATTAATTGCTGAAGCTATGACTGTTACTAAGGAAAATAATAGAGCATTTTTAAATCTTGCTTTTGCTTATACATGTAAGTATAATCACATTGAACCATGTTATTTATGTTTACACTAAGGCTGCATTCAGGCAATGCGCTATCAGTGCTATTACATCATCCTGTTTTTGTTTTACATGCCCTAAACAGTTAAGATAGGATGATGTAATGATGCTAACAATATGTTGTCAAAACACAGTCTAAGGCCAGAATCAGACTATGCATTGAAGATTGAGATCCAAGATTAAAATTTGACGAAAACAGTAGAAGCTAAAATTTCTTCATCCTCATTGGTAAAATTTCAATCTTCAATGCGTAGTCTGATTCCAGCTTTAAAACAGTTTGAAAAAATCGTTGGTATAATGTCTAATTAGCGTACTGTCTAAACAATTAATTTTCATGATGTATACAAAGATATTTATTTAATATTTCATATAATTTATATATTTTTTAATATCATTGTAGCAAGGGATGAAATTACTCATGCAATTAAGGATATAATACAAGGCGTAAAAGATACTGATATCTTACCAGAAGATATTACCGAAGATCTAATTACTGACTGTTTGTACACTTACAAGTCTCCAAATCCAGATTTATTAATTCGTACTTCAGGAGAAACTCGACTTAGTGATTTCCTCATGTGGCAAGTAAGAAAATATATTTAATTTGTATGACTTGAATCTATTTATATTATATTTGTAATCAAAACAGAACTTTGCGTTTTTAAACTTTACCCAAATTTCTTTTAGATTTCCAACACTTGTATCTACTTTACCGAAGTATTGTGGCCTGAATTCAGTATATGGAATTTTCTTAGTGCAATTTTTTATTATCAAAGATGTTATCCTCACTTGCAAAAAAATAGAAGTTTGAAACCAATTATGCATAATAATAGAGTATCCATGTATATTGATAAGTTGCATAACAAACGCGACAGTACAATCGAAAAAATATATCTATCAGCAGTTCAATCCTAGAAATAAATAAATGCTATTCTAATAGATAAAGTGTCAGGTAAAGTATGCTGAAAATATGTGTTGCATACATTTTCTTCAAATTAACTTCCCATTGTAATGTAGTATATTTATCCCAGGTAATTTCATTCTATTTAGAATTTGTGAAATTATTATAGCAATTGAATTGTACCACGTCTTGTTGCATTAGTAAAATTAAAAACATCTACATTTATAAATATATCAGTACATAAATATGTCAGTTTGTAGCTATACGTATAAGAACTAGTCAACTGATTAAACAAAGACAATTACATGTGAGAACTATAATGTCAAAATTTATATAAATATTCGTTTTGATACGTTTTATAGTATCGTAAACTCAGGGATAGATAGCTACAGATGCTTCCAACTACATAAGATGTTTTAGAAAACGTGAAATAATGATCGAAGTTTTTGAGATTTGTTAACTGAGTAAGACCTAATATTGAAACGTTTGAACAAATACTAGAATGTTTACTTGTACGGAATCGTTTTCATATTTCTCTCGTATAAAATAAATTTATTCGTATGAAGAGATCAAATAATTAGAGCAGATAAAATTAAGTTATGTATTATAAGTAATTTGTCGAACAATCAATCTTGCCAATAAAAAAATTTAATAATGAATTATAACAATTTTAACAAACATTACTATTCTATTACAATGAAATATTTGTTTTCTGAAACGTCGTATCATAACTGTATGTAAATATTGATAAAATTGCTTCCATAACGTATCATGTCAATACAACGCATTTATATATTTATTTATCTCTGTATGTATGTACATTCCATGCGCATTAGTTTTCCAATTATTTTTTATTGCCATGTGCATTGGAGAATTGTAAAATAAAACTGTAAAACAAATGTATATAATATAAATTATACATGTGTGCAATAAATAATGTTAATCGTAATAATAATAATATTAACGCGCGTGACTATAAAGTAACTACATAAATATATGAATTCTTTGCGTTGCAATATTTATATAATTTATATTATATTTTTCTCTCTCAAATCCAAGAAATGTTTATAGTACGGCCTATACAAATATTTACAATAATTTGGTTTATTATGTATTAATGCACAAAGCAAATAACAATACTTATGAATGTACATTTAGTGTCAATTATTTTACTGAAAGAAGCATCAACATTGTAAATATATACAATATTCAAACAATAAGTGTTCTTCGTGATGAAGTATGATTTAAAATATATCTACATGTGATAAAATTTCTTCACATTATAGAATATTCAACATCTTGCGTGATATTTGGCCTAATATAAAATATTCTAATATCTATATATATATAATCTTATTTACAATTTAATATATATCCTTTAAAAACCTGATTGTGCTAGATAAGATAATAATGGTAAACCTCTGCGATATAGATACAATTCTAGTATAAAAATTTAATTCGCTTTTCTAACTGTTGGAGATATTTATGCAATTATTTTTTACATACTCATTAAAGATATAGGAACATGTTGGCACATCTCTAATAGCTAGAAAATCTTTGTATACAATTGGATGAAAATCTGAAAATTGAAATGTTAAAATTATATTTGTGTTCGATTTTACAGGAAGACAAAAAAATTGGTTGAATACACAATGTAAAAATAATTAGAAAAAGTTTTCATTCGTTGACAGTTTGTAAACATAATTGTTATATTATTAACTCTACTCTTTCTTAAAAGTCAATATTTTTACTTCGATAGAAAGAGAGGAGGAGGGGGGGAGGAGAGAGAGAGAGAGAGAGAGAGAGAAATCGTTCAATTGTATCCACATCGAAAGAAATACAATCAATTGAGACAATCGTAACAGAGATAAATGTGGCATCTTAATATTACGGTACGCGTTAATATGACGCTGAATAAATGAGCAGCTGAATAAATTTGTGACCGTCAAGTTCATAAATTCAAATATGTGATATCATCATATTTATCGCACTGTTGAAAGCATCATCTCAAATGACCATTTACCCACTTTGTACAATAATAATACTTAAATCAACTTTCTTTTGCGCGTCTGCTTATTTCGAGTTATAAGGGGGATAACGTCTCGAGACAGGTTGTCTCTGTCTAGCTAGAAAAGATTGACCCTGTCCTGCACTAAGCGCCGCGAGGCGCTGATCCATCACCTCTCGGTGGCAATTCCCGCCCAGTCTATGAAAGGCAGTCACCATCAGCTTCTCCTCCATCTCTCGTAGCAACCTGGACTCCTTCATGGAACGTTCCATGTCCTCGATCATCTTGCGCTGTTCCATCAGCTGGTTGCGCAACATAACAACCTCGTTCGGCGAAGAATTATTCTGCTTCGGGTCGAGGCTTTTTATGACACTCTTGGCCTTTTCAATATACTTCTTGTGGCGTTCCTCCAGCGCGGCGTTCTCGTACTTCTTCCGCGTGAGTTTCTCCTGAAGAGCGAAGGCTTCCTGTTTCTGAGCCTGCAAAGCACTCTCGCGCTCCTCGAGCTGCAGCGTCAGTCGTTCTTTATCAGCTTGCACTTTCCGCAATTCGTCCTGCAGTTGCGACAGTTTCTGATTCGGGCCTACGTTGTCACCACTCTTGCTGTCACCGCTAACTTGAGCACTCACGGTTTCCTCCAACTGAGTCTCCAATTCCATTATCCTCTGATTTGCTTTACGAAGTTGTTCTTGCTTTGTGTTGAAACGTTCCTCAGAATCCTCAAGTAATGCTTGCATATTCGGCAGCTTGTCCTCATTGCCGTTCAATTTTATCTTCATCATCTTGTTCTCCATCTGTAGGCAAAACAGCTTTTCCTTGATCTCAAATGGCATCATTTCCGACCCGGAAACGCCAGTGCTATCGGTGTTCGGCTTCGCCATGTTCTCGGCAGCTTGCAACTGCATGCACTTCAACTCTTCATTCATCTCTTTCAGTGTGTCCCTTTCGACAATCAGCCGATCTCTCTCCCTCTCTACAGCACCTAGTTTCGCTTCCATTTTCTTGCAGTCAAACTCCAACCGATCGCACTTGTTGCTTTTCTCATCCAACTTGTGATGAGCTTCTGTGCGCTGTTGCTTGCATAACTCCAGATGATTGCGCAGCTTCGACGTGAGCTTGACTTCTTCCTCGTACTTAAATTTGAACTGTATATTCTCTTTATTATTGTCCTCCAATATCTTTAACTGCCTCTTAAGGTCGCTCGCGTCCTCTATCTTCTTCTTGTACGATTCTATCATGATTTCATATCTTTCCACTTTGTCTGTATTCTCTCTCAAGGCATCCACCTCGTCCTTCAAGTGGTTCCTTTCGTCAGCCGCCTTTTGTAGATTCTCATTCCTCGACTGCAGCTCCAGCTTTTCCTTTTCCAACAGCTCCACCTTCAATCTATAATCATCTCTGGACGTCTCCATCTTGAACAGTTCGTCCTTCAACGCTTCCACTTGCTTCCGCTCGGAATACTTGAAGGATTCCTCCGGATTTTCAAACTCGTCCAGCCGCTCCTGAAGTTTCTTATTCTCTGCGATCAATGCGATCTTCTCTTCTTGCAACAGAGAAAGCTGTTGGTCGAGCTCGTGGCACTTCTGCGCCAGCTGATCCCTCATGTCCACTGCCGCCTGGAAGTCAGCGTAGAGCCTCTGTTGAGCACTGTCGGGCACATCCGGCACCAGAGACTCGAAGTTCACCTCCTGAATACTTTGCATCAGCACCTGCTGCACCGTTTCCTCCATACCCATTATCCTGGTGATGAGCAGCTGCTTCTGGTTACAATTGACGGCGCAGCCAAGAATCAGCTGCAGCAGACGGCGCAGCTCGTCGCTGTCGCAGTGCTCGCCGATCTTGATCGCGTCCGGCCTGACATAACCGGCTAGCTGCTGGTTCAGACACTCCACGTAGTACTCCATCACCGCCTCCACGATTTTCTTCATGTTGCTCACTCTGAGGCGCCAGTTGGTGCCCACGTCAGTCTTGATCTTCGCCTTCCATACCGCCGTAAACCATTCCGGGGCGATTTTAGCCAAGGCTTCGGCTAGAGCGACCCCGTCGCTTATCTCCTCCACGGAATTATGTGGCGCTTGAAGATCGAAGGTAGCCAACCACTTGATCAAGTAGTCCAACTGTTGCCGATGGTCCCCCATTTCGTTACTTTTCTTACCTGGACCTGGGAAAGCTCTGAGACTCTCGCTAACGATATGGATTTCGTCAAATTCCGCTAATCGTGTCGTCCTTGTGACCGTGATTCTCGGTCGAATTCATAATCCCGTATGTCGTATAACGTACCGAATCGGGACGCTGCTGCGGGTCAGGTGGGATCGTGGTGAACCAAGGGCTATCCGCTCGCGTGCGTACCTCAGCTAACCAAGAAATGCAAAACGGCCACTGTCATCGCGCGCCGTTACGGTCCGATAGCGCTTTATCGAGGCGGAAGTCGCGAAGTTCGAGCACCACCTCAGATAACAGCTCGTAGCGCACGATAATTGTATCCCGCATGGCGCACGTCAGCCGACGAGAGGAACGTCCGGGCTGACCATCATCGTTCTCCTCCGCACCGCTGGAAGATAAAACAAGCTTCGGTCACATGCACCTTGCATTTTCTTACCTCCGCAGGATTTAACGACTGCCTCGTTCTAACCATTAATTACCGTAATGATCTCGTGGAACGCGTCAGATTCAGTGGGAACCTTTGACGTTTCTCTCTTCGGAAAGCGTGACAAGTGGGAGATCCCAAAGGGTTGGGATTGTTGGAAATCCAGCTGTCACGGCTGAACCTTTTAATAATCGTCCATAACAGCAGCGGTCGAGCAAGAGGAGCGATTCGAATGATCGAGATTGATCGATCAGGCACGTATTTGCTAACGAACGAGATATTTATATAAAAAGAAAGTAGAAAGAAGAGCAAGAAACGGAGGCCTGATTGTGTGACAGGAATAGGATACGTAATGAAGTATTTATGTGTGCGTGCGTGCGTGCGTGGTGTGTGTATAATAGACAGGTTAGGATAGAATAGTTATTATTAATTATTTTCTGTAATTAACCTTGACAGCTCTTATTTGAATAATTATCGTTAGGACTTTTATTATTGTAACAAAATAACAATAAAATTATTTTAAGTTCACACAACAATAACTTATAGAAAGATGTTAAAAGTTGCGATCTGTTACGATCTCCATTATTTATGAATTTGGTTGCTGTTTATAATTAACACATAATTAACATTATAATTAATGGAAAAGTTGTTCACTAACGACAATTACTCGATAAAAATATCATGAAATATTACAAAATAGAACTCATAAATAATAAGTCTATGATAAGATTAGACGATAGTTTTGATTGTTAGAGATAAATGTGTATAAGCAAAATGAAAAATTTTGAAAAAATTTTCCTACTTTCTTTTTTTTACAAAATAACTTCACCATGTATTGTATCGGAAAAGCTTAAAGTTGTACATACATAAAATAAATTGATTTTTCAAAGCTCTTCCTATATGTTAAATTGATCAACTATTGGAAATTTAAGTACTAAAATTTTTTAATTATCCATTAAAAGTATCCAAAAAAATTATTTATTTATAAATAAATAAATACAATAATAAGTAAATTATTATTTTATAAATTTATTTTTTTCCTCTTTTTTTAACTTCTAAGCTCATGCATGTAATATAATCAATTTTTGTTTCCAAATTAAATTATGCAGAGAATTAATTTTTCTTGTGTAAGATGATGAGACAGCAGTTTATTTTTCCAAATAAGAATATAACATCAACATTTTTATGGATGTATTATTCTTTTATAAAAATTATTTTTCTTTTTTTAGATTATAAAATCATCCTAAAATGTTTTTGGCAAGAGTTATTAGAAAATCGGCAGTGGCGATGAGTCCAATGAAGCAGAAATGTAAGCTGTATTCACATCATGCACCTTCAAAAACTACGATTCATTCTACCATTCCTTTGGGATCCTTGAGATTCTGCAGTGACAGTCCACCCAAGTGTTGGAATTGCGACTACGTGTACAAGTCCAAGATATTCTGCTCAAAGTGTAAAGTATTGCAGGAATTGCCGCAGAACTTGAATTATTTCGAAATCATGGGAATTAAAAAGAATTACAATGTGATAGATGAGGAAATTCATAGAAAATACAGAGAGCTGCAAAAAATGCTGCACCCCGATAAATTTAGTAATAAATCTGAAGTAAGTGTTTATCAAATAAAACTTAGACAATCTTCTCTCAGCAGTTTCTTAATTTATTTTTACTGTCAATAGAAAGAAAGGCAAATCTCAGAGAAGTTGTCGTCTCTAATAAATAAGGCTTACAGTACGCTGATGCATCCATTAAAAAGAGGATTATATCTATTACAATTAAAAGGTATATCAATACCAGAAGGTACAACCAGTTTGAATCCAGAATTTCTCATTGAGATCATGGAACGTAATGAAGAGATAGAAAACGCAATAGAGAACAAAGATAAGGTCTTGAAGCTAACCAAAGAATCTAAGGAACTGCTCAATAAAATGTCAAAGTAATCTCCATTTTTCGTGGCTTTAAATCTGTATTAAAATCATATTTAGTACTTAATGTTGTTTCTATTCTTTTTACTTTAGGCAAGTGGCAGAGGCGTTCAGTAAAGAAGATATTGAAACGGCAACAAAGATTTTAATAAAAATGAAATATTATGATACTATATATAATAGATTAAAGAAACTAAAGCATGATTTAGGTATAATAGAATAAATATATATATATATATATATATCATTTACTTAGTTGATTTATCAATATATTTTTTACAAATATTTTTTTACAATAAAAAATTTAATTTCTTTGTTAGCTGTATAAAATGTGAAAAACGTTCTTCTATTGTATTATATTCCTATATACATATATTATACTTATGTATTTGTATGTGTGTATGCATGTATACTATATATATATATACACACTCATGTATATTTGCTTATGTGTTTGTTATATGTACAGATGTTTGCTGAATACAGTTTAAAACTTATACAATCACATTTTACTGCATCAATAAGCTTACGTATTGCAAAATTATAACCTAAATACATCTATATGAGAAATATAAAGCAGGATTGACAAACGGATTCTAAACAGTTTCAAACATAATATGTTGCCTAATTGATATTTTTAATATGTTTGAAATATATCTTTTATATAATACATAGTTTAAGGTCTATATTAAAGCATTAAAAATATATTTTTAAAAGAATATATTCTTAAAAAAAAATTTTTTTTTGTTAATCCTGACATAGTCATGAAAATTTTACATGAGAAAATAGAAAGTCTACATAAGAAATACTTAATATATATTTTGTCACATTCACATATTATCTATTTTCCATTGCTCTACCCACTGACATATTCTATCTATGCTATTCATCAACTCGTCTGGAGTATCATTTGTAAGTTCATGTACTAATTCTGGCTCAAACAAGTCTCTTGCTTCTTGGATAACAATTTCAAAAATTTCAGCTTCTATATTGCTCTCTAGTTTCTTCTTGCTATAACCTCTTGCTTGTAGACGGTCGTATAAAATAGTATTGTTTGTTCTGAGAACGAATACAATGTCAAACCAACTTTCAGGAAACAAGTCAGCACTGTGATAGTCCACGATTTGTCCTCCCCTTCTCATCAATTTCTCCATAAGTTGCAGTAACTAGAAAGATATAATGCATTTGTTAAATATTATATATTTCATGATTAAAAAACTACAAAAATTAAAATTATAAAGGACAAGATCTAATATTCGTATCACACTAGCAATAGACAATTGCATCGCGTGTTATGTTTCTTATGCAGATTAACTTTAATCTCGGTTCAATTTGCTCTTCGTCTTTTTCTAATTCTAAAAATTAGAAAAAGATTAACAGGAAATTAAACCGAGATTAAAGTTAATCTGTATTGGTAGAAACAGACATTATAGACCCAATATAAAATTAACTTTAACCTTGGTTTAATTTTGTTTATCTTAATAATTTATTATCTTAATTAAATCCAGATTAATCTTGGTTTAATTTGCTCTTTATCTTTTTCTAATTCTAAGAAATTCTTAGTCGAGATAGATCCAGGCCTTGATCAATCAAAAAGGAACTACTAGCTAGTATCAATGTACCAATATTGTATACATTATAATTGTGTACCCAAGTATAATATCAGAAATTTTATTTTATGATTATATTTCTCTTATAGTTTGAATATCACAATCTGAAAGTCTAATGTAAATTATCAGAGAGTCATGTGAGTCATTAACGAAATATAACTATAGCAACAAGAATAATTACCGCGTCCTCGTTCAGCACGCTGCATTGTAACTCTTCGTCATACTCGCTCACACATCCAGTCTCAATAGCTACTTTACTGATATCGACCCAGTTTAGTTTAGTCTTTTCCTGCAACGTTTGTGCCATTGTGCTCTTACCTGTACCAGGAGTACCTGAAAACATTGGCAATAATTATTAAAAATAATTGGAATTTATAATGAATAAACAAAATGATGTCAAGGGCGATTAAAGAGTCGAAAAGAATTTTCTTTTTGACTCTTTAATCGCCCTTGACATCATTTTGTTTATTTTTTTATAACGAGTCCTTATTTTTTTTTTATTAATTTATAATGAATAACAATTCTATCACATACCACATATTAAAATGTTCGGTGCGCTCCTACGCATGTTCATTTTGCTAAAATATAAATGTGACAGCAGTCAGATTGATGCGAATTTTCTTCTTTCTTTGTTAATGGCACGTGGCCCTTCCAAGCTGTTGTTGATCGTGTTACAACACAATAGCGATGAAAGTTAACAATCAGGAAGTAGAAATTATAAGGAGACTCCACTCCCACTCCAGAGAGAAGCCTGAGAGCGGCCATGCCCGGGATTTAGCATGGACATAGAAATATAGGGACAGAGCATAACGTTGCGGGGGGGG